AGTGACCACTTAATACAATGAATTGTGTCTCTGCAGGCAAAAGTTAACTTAGTTTAACCTTAAAATAGGTGGACCGTGTTATCAAATATGTGCCTGACAGTCCAGGCCAAAAGCTTGAGGAAAAAACCTAGACCTAATTACATTCGGATCACAGTGACATGAAGTATTTCAAAACACTGCTAGCTATTATTCTGTTTCTGCTCACCTTGAAATATTCAAGAGCTCACATATCACTCATTCATCGGGCAGAAAAATTGAAAAGAGAGACGGCAAAATATAATTAACCTTGTTACAGCCAGGTCAAACAACCGATTGTTATTCGTTTCATATGACAGCGCTTTGAGGCAATATTTTCCCAGGGAGACTCATGGCATACGACATAAATTGAGATAAAAATGAAAACAAGAAACCTGAATTAATACTACTGTACTGTATCAAATAAAAAGCTTCTTGGCACCTGTGAGATACCCTTAAGCAGTTTAGAGGTAAATCGCTATTGAACCAGATCCTTTTAGCTACTGGAGCTTATTGCTTCAGACTTTCATCACAGAGGCCGGCTAACATTTGATACTTCATCATCTACCCGTGGCCTCACAGGAGCCACTGAGAGCACCTGACACACACTGCTTACGGATACAACATCTCAGTGTTAAAATTAAGTCGAGTTATAACAACAATATTAATATTTTGATATTTAGATATAATATTCTTTATACACAACATTAACCATTGTAGGATTGTAAATGTGCATTTTGTTGCTTTAACAAGGAGTCCCAAAAGTCATGAAAATGCATTATTTATAATCACAATGTACCCGATCATTAGGTTTGTTGGATCAATTCATCAATGTTATTCATTTAAATTAATTACCATATTTGAAATAAATGAATGAGCAAGTACAAACTGGTAAGAGCATGATTAGACAGTGTTATTGAACGTTTCTCTCTGGTGGTCCAGACCTGATCTGGTCTTGGTGTTTCCTGCTTAATTAAGACTCCGCTGTCACATTGTTCATTACTTCTGCAACCCTCTTGTGAGTGAATTGCCTCCGTCCATTAATATTTACAGCCTAATATCTGCAACCCCGAGAAGCCACAGCACTCAAATTATATGTCAGATAATTAAAAGAATAATTATGAATGGTCAGCAAGGTATGAGCCATATTTCATAGATGACTGTGTTTATTTTCCATTTTTCACCGTTTAAATGTATTTTGTATGCAGATAAGCACAGGACACTTTTTAATTAACCGCGAGGGGCATAATGAGCAACTTTGTTGTAAAATATTTTGTATTTATCATGCATATATACTCAAAAACTGGTAGAATTATGGGTTAAAATATACAATATTTTATAGTATTATCATAATTTAATTATTTACTATCATAATTTATGAATAATAATGAGAAGCATTTTATGTTTCCTCTTTATAGTTCTACTTACTCAATTAAAATTTGTGACGCTCTTGATGACACACAAGCACGGGTGTATGAGGTCATCATCATTTATTCTTATATTACACAAATGCTATCCATCTTAAAGATGATTCCGTTAGTATTCAGTACACTCCATACTATCCTATACAATGTGCCGCACTTCCCCTCTCACATAAAGATGGTCATTAATTGAATCACATAATTTTCCTCCCTGCCTCCCACAAAAGGCCATTTGCAACTTCAGGTGTGGCGGGGTAATAGGGGATGATATTTCTATCCAACAATGCCAGGGGCAGACTCTGATCATTTTCTCTTCTGAAGGTTAAACTTAGATAACCTGCCTTTGGCATTTAATCAGCTACTTGTTAAATACTCTTTTGGTAATAAAATAATTTACAATTTTATTGCTTCTCAAGTAAGGCTCTTTTTAAATGGATTTAACGACTTTGTAAAGGCTTTGCTGAACGCATCCCTGGTTAGGATAGTGTGTAAAAGCCTAATTCTAATGATATGCTTTACAGCTTGCGAAATCGCAATGATATTCATTCAAATGACTTTGGTAATCACTGTGCGTAAATTAGAAATACCTGTCCCGTCGGCAGACGTTTAAAGGGATAGCATCCCACCAGACAGCATTCATCACTATAAAAGTCTGTGTGGTTTCTAGAAAAGGAATAGAGATATATGAGTGTTTGCACTTTAAAAGACAATCCTTATCGAATTTAGAGCTATCATGAATGCATTACTTTATAATAACTAACATTTATCAGTCTGGGTTATTGTTAATTTTACAATATTTCATTAATTAAAATGAGCCTATATTATGAACAAATATGAATTAACTGTATTTATTAATTTACATTAACCTAGATTAATAAGCCATTAAAATTGCTGTTCATTCTTAGTTCATGATACCTAATGCTTTAACTGGTCCTAATTTTAACACATCCTAGTATATATTTAACATTAGCATTAAGTTTTCAATCATATTTAATGCATTACTTTATGATAACTAGCATTTATTAGTCTTGGTTAATGTTATTTTACATTATACAAAAACATTTTTAACATTTCAAGTTGTATGATTTCAAATTAATGCATTATGAACAAACATGAATGAACAATATGTATTCATATTTAATAAAGTACATTAAGCTAGATTAACACATGCTGCAAAAATGTTTCATTTTAAGTTCCTGATACATAATGCATTAATTAATGCTAATTTTACACATTGTATATTTTTAACATTTCAAGTTATATAAATGAAAATGAATGCATTATGAACAAGCATGAATTAACAATATTTATTATTTTACATTAATGTAATAATTAAATAATAAATACATGCTGTAAAATTGTTGTTCATTTTTAGTTCCTAAAAATTTTCATTTTCATTTTCAAATTTTAATTTTACATATACTAGTACATTTTTAATGCTTTATGCTAAATTAATGTATCACGAACAAACATAATATTTATTCATTTGCATTAAAGACTTTATTTATTTGAACCTTATTATAAAGTGTTGCCAGTTTAGACAGTTGGCAACATTTAGTAATTTTGTGGGGAAAAGTCCTGTACAGTGTTGACAAAACATTAAAAGCTGGAAGTATTATTTGGAGGGGGAAAAAACAGCATTCACCTTCCAACATTTTCTTCTGAAGACTTGATTGTCTGCCCTTCAGAATCCAGATATGGTCATGCTTCCTGTCCACTGACACCCATATAAATGGCCTTATTATCTCCCATTGGGGTGGGGGAATCTGGTGTGGTCTGGTCCAATGAATCATCAGCAAGCTCTCCTTTTTTTGGCCAGGCTCCAGCTCTTGTTTTCTCATTTGGTTCCAGTGCCTGTTAATGACAAAGTAACAATAACTCACCTGGATTAAAAGCCTAAATCTGCAGTTGAGTGGCAGCGTGACCAGCTAATGAGGTGCATTTGGGTAAATTGTTGACAGTGCTCTTCACGGAGAAGGAGGGGCTATCTTTAATTTAACAAAGCTATGACAACAGCGGAAAGAGCAAAGTCAAGCAGATGAAGATGAATACACCAGTTGGGTCCCCGGGAACTTCTGCAATAGTGCATGACAACCTAAAATGCTCTTGTCACCAATGAGCGTCACATTCGCCTGTGGGCACTTAGTGGGGGAATAAGAAGCCGTCAGGATGACAGATTGCCAAAGACGGGGACTTGTGGGGAAAAATGAGAAATGAACATTTGGTGGCGGCAGCACACAATGGCTGACAGTTACGTGATATGCTCATGTCAATTTAATAATTCTGTCACTGGGCGAGTGCAAAAGAGGGAACGTATGAGAGAAATCATTAACTTCATACAGGCCTCCATATTCTGTGAAGGGTTACGTTAGAGCAACTCTTTGGAGATTTCAAAAACAACACATTGTTTAGGCCTGGGTTTGCATGTTTCACATGTCAGCGTTAAAGGAAGAAATGCAGCCCATGTGAGAATGCATGAAGCTCATTGTTCAAGAATGTGATGTGCCTGAAGATTACTTGACTTCCTGATTAATTGGTCAGAATCTAATAATCTGCAGACAAGCAGCATATCTCAATTTGTTTTGAATAATGCTGTCATTCTATACGGCAACCAACTTAAAATGACATTTTAGTACAATTATTTTCTTACAGGGTTGTTTCACATGCTGAGGTGCATTTCACTGCGTGTGTATATTAGCATGTGATTATTAAACCAGCAATATCACAACCCAGATGAATTAAATTACAACAACACATGATTATTCTTTCATGTTTATCTTTCAATTAAGATAAAAGAAAACAAAGACAAAAGAAAACATTGGCCAATCAAACACAAATTGTGTTGAAACTGAATAATTATTTATACTTACATGGTTTATAAAAAATAAATAAATAGTGTAAAAAAACTGTTTAATATTACGTCATGTTACCTCATGTGTTAACTAATTTTAATAAACAACTATATTGTAAAGTGGTAATGCTATAGTCTCAGTTATTCAAAGGAAACTATGGTTGGATTGGGAAAATATTAGGCTACTGTAGACTTGAAAAGAAAAGAAAAGAAAAGAAAAGAGCTCTAAACACAAATTGTGTTGTGACTGTCTTTGTCCAGCAGATGGCCATAAAGAGTTGATGAATGCACTTATGTTTGTATACGTGCTCTTTGTATAACAATCCATTGTCACGTCAATATTTCGATAATTGTGTCTGTTTATAAGGTTAATGAAAAACTCTGGGACCACTACATATGTTAAGTAAAAAATATATTGATATATTGTTATCTAAAAAAGACCAGAAAAGCGCAGCACAACTAAATTTCATAGTATTGTCACTCATTTTGTTTTTATTTGGACCATGGTTTTACTTCAGTAACAGTACTGACGCAACGCATTTGTGAACTGCGTATTTATTACTTATGATAAAAAGTAGAAACTTACCTGACAGTTTCTATATACTCTCAAAGCCTTTCCAAACCACGCTACTCAAGCGGTGAAGTTGGGCGATACCATCTCCACAGAGACATAAGAGATCATCACGGCAGAGGATGAAGGGGCGATTCCATCACAACAGGACGGAGGGGTGTCCCGTTCGCTGTAAGAAATCACCACACGGCCAGCAGCGTTTTCACAGCAGGGCTGACTGCTCGTGCTCAGCGGAGGCGAGGCAGCTGAATCGCGCATCTCGGAGATATGTACATGAACAGCCCGATCCCAGTCAATTTCCCCAGGAATATCTGAGTGCATTTCTAGTGAATTAAAGGTAAGATCGTGCTTGCATTTAGTGTCATTGCATGACCTGATCTATAGTATATTAAATATATAGGAAAGTCTGCTGTTTCCATCCTGATGTTCTCTGATCGCAGCACACCTCCTTGAAAACTATGACTATTTATTTTTAAAGGCTTTTCGATAAAAGCAATCTCTGTAACACAACTTTCATACTTACAACTAATGTAACTTTTTGATTGAGAAATGAAATAATTTAAAGTCAACATCTCGATCATTTAAATGAATACTTATGAAATGCAAAGAGAAAACAACTACATTGTTTTACCACTTTTGGTGTAATTAATAGGCACTGTATATGTTTTGAAGAGTTAATAGCCATACTATCATTGATCTGCAGTAGAGGATTTTATTAAATCTTTCATTCTGTTCATCATATTACATGCTGACAGTGCTAACCTGTTGCACACTAACCTTAGTTTAATTCCCTGTAGAGTTTCACTCTGTCCATAATGTGATTCAATTTATATCTGACAGCAGGGCTCTTTCTAAACTTTTTTTTTATTATCACTATTATTTAAATTATTTAATTTAGATTATTTAAATAAAAGCTTTTGTCTAACACAATTACAAATAGCTGCTGAAAGAATTGTGTATTTCTTTCTATTCTTATCCCATTTATAAGAAGCATACTCTATATTGTGAAAGAGTATGAAGGTTTAAATGTAAACTCTGATTTGTTGGGTTTCCCTCCATTTCAAACTAGACAAAACAAACATTTGATCTCTTCTCTCAAGGACAAACACTGCTGCTTGCTGCAGTGAGTTTCCTAAAAAATATGGCTGTAAAAGCACCACCTTTACAATACAATATTCAACCGATATAAATAAAAAAGTATAGTGCACTTCTTAAAAAACATTTAGACACTAGAACAATTTTTACAGCAATACTGAGCATTTTGCCTCATGTCATTGTGTGCATCTGCAAATAAATTAACTTTAATATCCAAGCGGCAAAAGGGTAACAATATTAATGAGGGAAATTCAACATTTATGGTGCCGTAAAATTTGAGAGCTGAAACTGCAAATCAAATGTGCTGCTTGCATTAGGAAAAAGTACTGTCACTCCCTCACATTTGTCTGATTAGTCTAACATATTGCATTTAAATTATTCTTTAGTAATGATGCCGTTGTATTGTGCTTTTAGCTTATTTTTTCAAGTAGAATATGTAGCATGTTTATATTAGTTAGCCTGGTTGTTGGTAGTTTTGCTTCATTTAATGTACAATTTTTAGTGTATTGTCATTAATATTTTACAGATAATTCTATGATATATGAAGCTTTCTTATACTCGATGGTAAACTGATTCAGTGTGATGTTGATCCTCTTTGTAGTTTTCCACAAAAGCCAACCAGATAACATGAGAAAGCATAAAAAACACGATGATTTTGTATGAATTTTATATGAAAATGCCATGAATGTCCACCCCTAATCTGTCAGGGGGGTGTAATCATACAAAAACATACCAATGAGATCTTACACTCCGCCACCATTTCTTAAAAGTTACGTATTACCATGAGAGTGTGTTTCAAAAGCCAAAAACCACTGAGACGAAAACAACCTCAGCCATTTGGACGGAGATAGCCTTTATTTCTCACAAGTCATGTCACAAGAAAACAAAAACCTTTTTCAGGCTCCAAAAGTCCAAACTATCTGTCAAACTGAAGTAGTAATTATAGAAATCGGTAACAAGAGCCTCAGGTGTTGATCTGAACAAAGGGCATCTTGAAACTCAGAACTGACCACTTACTTCAGCTGTCAAGAGATGACATATATCTGTTATTAAGACACTGGACAGCTATTTTTTGGCAGGAATATATTGTGTTTGGGCTCTGTGAAGCAATGTTCACAACATTCAGGGACAGAGTGGTATTTTCTGCACATATAGATGCAGTTGACTTTGTAGAACTGGTGGAAGTGTAATGATAACTTATTTAGGACAGGTGGTCTGTGAATGTGACACCTATTCCATCACTATGCTTTGAGATGTTAATGTTGCTTATCTTCATTTTTATTCACAAATATATGCTTCTTCCTGCTAAAAATGAACAAATTATTCCCACAGTAATCTTAAGATTGGACAAAAAGACCTGTCTGAATGCAACTGGCCATCCTTGAAATGTGATCTCTCGCAGGGGTGCAGAGGTCAAAGGCTAAAGGTGATGAGAAGAATGGAGCAGTGCTATCTGACTGCCCTTCTCAGCCTCTTTGTGTCCATTGAGCCTCTGGCTGGACCATGCCTGAGCACATCAAAGCACTGCCCAAACATTGTTTGCCAGCCCTGACCTTTGGCCTGTTGCTATGCAGCGGGCTTCACGTAGAAGTGTGTGTGTGTGTGTGTGTTTGTGTGTGTGTGTGTGTGTGTGTGTGTGTGTGTGTGTGTGTGCCAGTAGAGAGAGGCAGTGGGCAGAGGCGAAGCAGAGACCTGCTGTGTCACCCACTCCCTGCTCAACAATAACGTTCAATAAGTTTCCTCTCTCCATTTCCAGCTCTTCTACTGGTCATCTGCTTGGTTTTATTGTATGTGTGGAGCGTGGAATGACCCCAGCCCCCACTTACGCATACACCTCCCAAGGCTAAAAGTCTTTAAAGCCATCCACCCCCTTCTTCCATCCTCTTTAGAGAAGGAAAAAGTAGTGAAAGTAGCACTTTCTTTCTGTTTCAAATCTTCAGATGCCCATTTATAGAGAGAGTCTGTCCAAATGTCTGTAATGGGGTTTGCACCACAAATTTTTATGTGTATCTCTTCACCTAGTTGAACTGCAATTTTCTGAATAAGACTTTGTGATTGTTAAAAAGGGAAATTTTATAACTTTAAGAAAAAATTATAAATGGTAGGAATATTTTCTGCAAAATACCACAGTTAAAATATTAGATAAAATTATATATTATTTATACACTACCATTCAAAAGTTTGGTGTCAGTAATATTTTTTTTAATTAGCATTTGAAAGAAGTCCTTTATGCTCACCAAGGCTGCATTTATTTGATCAAAATAATATTGTGTACAGTAATAGTAATATTGTAGTAAAAACAGCAATATTGTGAGATATTATTACAAATTAAAATAACGGCTTTGTGTTTTAATATATTTTAAATTGTAATTTATTCCTGTGATGGCAAAGCTGAATTTTCCCTAGTCTTTAGTGTCGCATGATCCTTCAGAAATCATTCCAATATGCTGATTTGGTGCTCAAGAAACATTATCATTATTATCAATATTGAAAACAGTTGTGCTGCTTAATATTTATGTAAAACTGTGATAGTGTTTTCAGGATTCTTTGATGTATAGAAAGTTCAAAAGCATTTATTTTAAATAGAAATCTTTATCAAAAAGTCACTTTTTGATGTCCAGTGGTTGGCTTTTGTTAGGTCAGTAACCTTATTGGCATTTGGTGGGCCAATGTGACGTAAAATTGAGGGAACAAATGTGTCACAGTTGTGATATTTTCTAGCTAGTTCTTCCTTATTTGAAGTGTAGTGTGTGTAAAGAGTGTCAGAAAGATGTGTAGGTAAGTCAGACAGACAGACAGACAGAGAGAGAGATGGGATTGTCTGTAAGAGAGAAGGCCATAAACGGAGACACAATAGTTGGGTGATGTTATCCCGGGGTGGGAGTCCGGGAAAGATGAAAGACCTCATCACCTCCCTGTTAGGAAGCTCTGTCTGGGAGGATGGAGCTGTTGAACGTCCTCGCTGCTATCACGTCTTGCTCTTTTATCTCCTTGACTATCTGCAGAGCCTGTCTGCGTTAGCATTTGTTTAGTTAACTGCCTATTCTCCCCCTCAGCACAAAATGCTAATGTTTTTTGGTCATGGCAGGGCTCCTAACTAGCTCAAAATGCCCAAACAAATCAAAAAAGGTTGGCGTTTTGCCATGAGACCCCAGAGATTCTGGCTAGAAATATTATGAGAGTGCGTGAATTTCACTTTCTTGTTATAAAAGTTTTATTAGTGGTAATGGTTAATGTTTATATGACATGTTGCTGGTCTTCTTCATTGTTTTAACGTGTTAACGTGTTGTGAATTCCCAGTGTGTGGGACGAGTGTTGGGGCTGAGAGAAGGAACATATGGCAGAGAGCATTTAAAAGCGAGGGGATAATGTCCAAGGGGCTTTTTTTCTGCCCTAGAGCCTTTTTCATTAGTGGCTTCAGTGTGCTGCCATTCACACGGTTGGGTGTTCTATACCTACATATAAAATAAAAGCAGACGTTAAAGGAATAGTTCTTCCAAATTTGGAAATTCTGTCTTCACTCGTGCTGTTCCAAACCTGTAAGAATTTCTTTCTTTATTGGAACACAAAAACATATTGTGAAGACTTTGCTGGTTGTCCTTTTCCATGCAGTTGCAATGTATCGGGACCAAAGCCAACTAATCCAACTTATTATTTACTGATAAACTCTTCCTGCGAGCTGTTAACCATTGTGATTGAATCAAATCTGTGAACTGAGCTCATAGTGAATCACATTTACCATTGCTCTGCGAAATTTCACAGACAAAATCCAGTCGATTCTGTAGAAACTAGTGCTGTCAAACGATTAATCGCAATTAATCACATCCAAAATAAAAGGTTTTGTTTACGTAATATATGTGTGTGTGCTGTGTATATTTATCATGTATAGTCTATTTAAATACACACACATACATGTATATATTTCAGAAAAATATTTTATGGTTATATATTAAATATATTTATATACAATATAAATACAGTATATGCATGTAAATACATGTAAATATTTTCAAATATATACTGTGTGTGTATTTATATATACATAATAAATATACACAGTACACACACATATATTATGTAAACAAATTTTTTTTATTTTGGATGCGATTAATCGTTTGACAGCACACATTTGTGAGTTTTGCATATGGATGAAAAAGTTCCCCATGCAGATTTTGTTAGTAAGTTGGTCACACAAATTTTGCCTAGTTGACAAATAGCTGTTTAGTTTGAAAGTGACTTCTATTTGAGCAATGCTGTGTGACTACACCTTTAGTAGATTGTATAAATCATTAGCACCAACTGTCTCTATGATCTACTTTGGCTTAAAATGCTTCTGGGAAACGCATCCCAGATCAGTCTTTCAAACAAGTTTTGTGAACTGAATCAACTTAAAATAATAATGACGGCATATGTCTTGATTTTCCGTAACTTCTTCCAGTTTGTTCCTCACACAACGTTCTGATGAAAAGAGTAAATCTATAAAAGGCATTATTCATCCTGTGAGTGCAGCCTTTTCCAGTTTCTAACTTTGTTTATTGATAGAGGTAGGTCATTCTCGTTTGCTCTCTCACTCTCTCTCTCTCTCTTTGTTTATTGATAGAGGTAGGTCATTCTCGTTTGCTCTCTCTCTCTCTCTCTCTCTCTCTCTCTCTCTCTCTCTCTCTCTCTCTCTGGGGGCGGCCCCCCTCACATTAGATT